GGTTTTGTAATGTTTCTGGGTTCAGCTGGGTGCACTTAAAGGAAGGAGGAGCCCTGTATGGCTCAGAAGGGGCAGTGCTAAAGATCCCTCCTTAATTAACATTTATTGGGAGGGGAAGGTCTTGTTTGTATGGTATGAGTTGCGGTCCTCAATGTGTCACCCTTTCACCTTCCAGGGAAATGGTTTGTCAGCACGGGTAAAGACAACCTCCTGAATGCTTGGCGGACGCCCTATGGTGCAAGCATATTCCAGGTATGGGTGTATCAGGGGGGAGGGCAGAGTGGTCATAGACAAATGGAGAAGGATAAAGGTCCTGAGCCAGTTTGATGAGGCTCAACAGAAGATGTTAGCACCTTAGTTCACTGATTTCAGGGCTATGTTAATTGCTATTTGCATTGAAAGAAGCATTTAGACCAGGGTGTTAAATTCATGGCCTGTGGGCCGGATCAGGCCCCTGGAGGGCTTCTATCAGGCCTGCAGTGGAACTGGCTGTCTCCTGCTTCTTCTTCCAGTTCTGCTGCTGCTGCATCGTAGCTTGCTTTGCCAGACTCTCTCAATCACTCAGGAGAGATAGATAGGCAAGCTTCTGTTCCCTGCACTGGCTGAGGCGCCTCCCCATCTCAGGGGGAGAGAAGGAACAAGTCAGAGCTTGCTTCCTGGCCAGGCTGCCTCAATCACACAGGAGAGAAAGGCAAGCCTTTCTTCCCCTCCATTGGCTGAGGCTCCTCCCCGAAGGGAAGGAAGGAGACCTTGCTTTGCTTGGCTGCCTCAATTGCATGGAAGAAATACAAAGCACCTTTAAGACCAACAAAGTTTTATCCAAAGTATGAGCTTTTGTGTGCCTTGCTACAGTGTGTGTGTTTTGTTGGGTTTGTTATGCTGTGGCTCTCCTGGGTGCAACTGGGTTCTTTCCTACTTTATCACTGCATCCATGCCCTCATGATCCAGTCTTTCTTAGTAGGAAAGCAATGTGAACTATTTAGATGAGAAATTGTGAGGTGGATTAGGGTGAGAATGTGTGTCCAGATCAAGTTCACCCAGCACATTTCCTTTGGGGATTTTGAATTTAAGACTTCCCAGATAATAAGCTGGTACGGACCACTGAGGAAGACTATAATTTTGTAGACAAACACATAGCCCTCAGTCTGTGTCATGGTGCCTTCTCATGTTCTTGACCAGCACAAGAAGCAATGTACAGGAGATGTCAGTTATCAGACACTGTTAAATAAAATATTGCACAAATGTTAATGTTTTAGGCATGTTTTTATTTTACATTAAAAAAATCTTTGTGTCCTTTATAAAGTTTATACCTCTGCTACCTGCCATTACCTTTTATGACACACATGGCCCGGCCCAACAAGGTCTCATTTTTGTCAGATCCGGCCCTCATAACAAATGAGTTCGACATCCCTGATTTAGACTGTTTAATATGGGTGGCCTTGTTACTCTGTCTGTAGTAGACTGTCTTGTAGCAGAAGAAAAGAGCAAGTGTCCAGTAGCACCTTCAAGACTAACAACATTTGTGGTAAGGGAGGAGCTTTCGTGAGTGACTGAGGAAAGCGCCTCCCCTGCCACAAATTTGGTTAGTCTAGAAGGTGCTACTGGACACTTGCTCTTTTCTAGACTATTCAAAATACTCCTCTTCTTGTAACCTTCACTACAGCACTGGAAGGGAGGTGAGCAGTGATCCCCCTATTGCGGATAGAATTGAAAGAGTGACGCATCAAGTCACCCACTGGATTCATGAGGCAGCATTTGAAGCAGGGGACTAAGCAATACAGACTACCACAGGGTACACAGTTCTCCCTTTCGCCACCTTATCCTCACAACAGACCTGTGAGGTAGGTTAGACTAAGAGAGAGAGAGAAATACCACTTGCCCCCAGGCCACCCAGTGCAGGGTTTCCCCTCTCCTCACCCAGGACTGGTACACCAGACGCTCTCAGCCACTCTGCTAGACGGTGGTGTACGCCGCCATTCTGTGGGAGCACAGCAAGATTCCCAGCACTGGCCCCATTTGGTCAGGATCTCTGCGACTGCAGCAGCTTGGGGGTTTCTCATCTTCAGGAGAGCAAAGGTTCTCTCTCTTTAGGAAGGAGGCCCAAGAGTTTAAAGTGACATCGAGCCCATTCAAAGGTGAGCACAGCACGAACTGTCTCCCCGCATTTATTTCTTTCGCAGTCCAAAGAATCCTCGTCAGTTCTGAGCTGCGACATCTCCGCCAACGACAAGTTGATCGTGACGGGTTCCGGTGACAAGAAGGCAACGGTTTATGAACTGGTGTACTGAGGCGGGAAAGGCCTTACCCCTCCGTTCCTCCTTCCTTTATTGGCCGCACTTTGTTTGGGATGTGGACTACAAGCCCCACCGGGAACCTGCGTCCCACCACAAAGCGAGTAACTCCCACCTTTCTCCCCAAAATTCGATCCAGCAATTCTGGCAGCCATCTCCCCGTTCCCCACGTCTCCTCACAGCCATGTGGACAAGCGTCTTGCCTTCTCCCCTCCGATTCTCAGGAAACTGGATTCCACTTCCAGAAGTCGTTCTCTGTTCTCACACAATCCCCAGCGGATGTATTGCTTCTCTCTAACCAAGAAGGGGGGGCACTTCTGTGACTTAACTTGCACCCCTGGCCTGCTGGAGAATAAGGTTTCTCACCCCCTTAGGCCGAGCGAAGAAGGAAGCACCCGGTGGCCTGGAATTGGTACCCCTTTTGGTGATTTCAGGGGATTGTTTTCCTTTCTTGAGGAGGGGGTGGGGAGAACCAGCTGTTGATTCCTTTTGTGTAATTACATGTATTTAAACATTCAATCTCTGCTTCGTTCTTCTTAGTAGAGATGGACAACTCCATTTCTCAGTTATTTGTGTGTGTGTGTGTGGGGGACAGTAGCTATGGATGCCAGCCTCCAAGTGGCTTGGGGATCCCCCAGAATTACAGCTCAGCTCTAGACCACAGAGATCAGTTCCCCTGGGGGAAAATGGCTGCTTTGGAGGGTGGACTCTGTGGCACTGTACCCCACTGAGGTCCCTGTCCTCTCCAGGCTCCATCCCCAAATCTCCAGGAGTTTCCTAGCTTGGAGCTGCCATCTGTCAGACTCCTGGTCAAGAGACTCCCAAGAACACTCTCTTTGGCAGTTTATTGAGATATCAGCATGATCCAGGTTAGAACAGTACCGTGTCAGAACTGAGGTTCTGGCGGGAAAATCCAAAGATACAGACAAGTTCAAACAGGGGCCCCTGGGAAATAAGCAATCACACTCCACAGCCATCCTGCCTAGCTCTTGCGTTCACTACTACCCCCCCCCCCACACCCCTGGCATTTTTTCCTCTAGGAAGAAGGTATCTTAAAGATGAGTTACGACACCTATGACAGAGTGGTTCACACACACAGCCATTCACACCCCCCTCAGGCCTCAGGAATTTCCCTCCCCCCTGTAACGATGGCAAACTAAGCAGAGTTTGACAGGTGGTGGTTGTGAGGATGAAATGGGGGAGAAAGAAATTATGTTGTAAGCCACTCTGGCTCCTCCCTGGGGAGAAAAGGGGAATGTAAACATCTAGATAAAGAAAACTTTGTATCGTGCCATCAGGCAGGTGGGTCTCTCTTGCCAAAGCTGCTTGCCTGGCACCTGGCCTTTGTAGTTTTGGGCAGATGGTTGGAAATTTGCCCCATCTGCACTGCTTTGAGCTCCTGGGGGCGGGGAGTACCTGTGGCCAGGGGGGACCTGGTAATCCTAACAGTGGTTCCTATGGGGGTTGACCCAGTGTAAATTCAACCATAACCCTTTGAGCTGGGTACAAGCACTTTCTAGATTCTGCCTGTTCCCATGATACCCCACAAGCTTAAGTTCTGACCATATAAGGGGTGTCAAACATATGGCCCACAGGCCAAATCTGGCCCCCTACAGGGCTTCTATTCAGCCCGTGAGCAACTAGTTCGCTGCTGCTTCCTGCATCACAACTCCTTTTGCCCAGTCTCTCCTATTTCCTACTTCATAGAGGAGAGAAAGAAAGCAAAGCCTCCATTCCCTCGATTGGCTGAGGGCTCCTCCCCCTCCTCCTCTGGGGATGGAGGGAAAAGGAAAAAGTCAGAGAGAGAAATGGAGTCCCGTGGCACTTGTAAGAAGACTAACAACGGTTTATTCCAGCTTTTGTGTGCAAGCACACTTTTTCAGAGAGAGAGGGAGGGAGGGAGCCAGAGAAAAAGAGCGAGTTGGATCCCCCTTTCCAGTTCTAACAGATGGGGGGGAAGAAACCTAACAGCACAGCTTGCGTTCTCTATTAGTGAAAGGGAGCAAGAGTCCAGTAGCACCTTAATGACTAACAAAATTTGTGGCAGGGCATGAGCTTTCATGAGTCATTGCTCACTTCTTCAGATACGGCTGGAATGTGTTTTCCATCTGTCCTTATATCTTGGGGAGTGAAGTGATTTCAGACGCCAAAAGACAATAGTAGGCATTTGTGACGAGAGAAGAAACCTAGGTCTCAATTCAGTCCAGGAGGATGCATCATCTTGAGCTTTATTATCAGTTGCAATTCAGCAGTCTCTCTAATCTCCCTTTGAAATTCCTTTATAAGAGAATTGCTACTCTTAGGTCAGCAACTGAATGTCCTGGAAGGTTAAAATGTTCCCCCACTGTTTTTTTTAATGTTGTGGTTTCTAATAGCAGTAGAAAGAGTCCAGTAGTACCTTAAAGACCAACACAAATTTGTGGTAGCGTATGCACTTTTGCGCGTCACTGCTCACTTCTTCAGACTTATTTCCATTTATTCTTTGAATCCTCCTGGACTGAATCCTCCTGTACCAAATTGAGACCTAGGTTTCCTGTATCATTACCAATGCTGGTATCTTCAGTTTGGTGGAATGGTTAAGAGCACAAACTCTAATCTGGGAGAACCGGGTTTGTGGTGACAATAGTCATAAACAGATCGGAAAATGGCCAGTTGGCCAGTTTGGTGTTCTCTCAAGGGCAGTTCTCTCAGAGCTCTCTCAGCCCCACCTACCTCAGAGGGTGTCTGTTGTGTGGAGGGGATGGGAAAGGAGATTGTAAGCCGCTCTGAGACTCCTCCGGGTAGTGAAGGGCAGGGTATAAATCCAATTTCTTCTTCTCCTCCATGCCTACTACCCCTCTGCATATCACACCTAATCCAATCATGCCTGCTATTGCCATTTGAAATCATCTTTATAAAGTTTATATCTCGGGTATCTCGTGTTACATTTCATGGCACACATGGCCCAGCCCGACAAAGTGACATTCATGTCAGATCCGGCCCTCGTAACAAATGAGTTTGACACCTCTGCTTTAAGTGGTTGCCAGCGGTAGATTCTCTTTAATGGCTGCAACGGAGCACTTTCACACAGTGTCACTGCACTTCAGTGACCATTTGTGAGTGGATTTGGCCATTTCACACGGTAACATCCAGTTGCAAAGTGGATTGAAAGTGTGTTTCGTGTGGGTGAAAGCGCAGGTAAATGTCTGGCAGCGATGATTTCTGTGCCGGGATGGAAATAGAGGGTGGTGTTTTATTTAAGGTTGACCTGACCTGGATGGCGATCTCACCAGATCTCAGAAGCTAAGCAGGGTCGGCCCTGGTTAGTACTTGGATGGGAGACCGCCAAGGAAGCCCAGGGTCACTACACAGAGGAAGGCAACGGCAAACCACCTCTGAACGTCTCTTGCCTTGAAAATGTGGTCACCCTAAGTAGGCAAAAAAAAATAAATTAAGATTGATTTTGTCCCAGACTGCAGGGTCATCGGATTGTTAAATAAAGGATTCTCCTTAAGATTCTGGTGGTGGAATTCGGGAGGAGTGAAAAGGAATAAGGCCAGACGGATAATGCTGGGCATAGGAAACGAATGTCTAGGATTTACAATAACGTCTCCATTTAGCACAGGACATGATGATCTATTTAGGCCTGTGAAAGCCAAGTTTGCGAACCAGATATTCAGGTCAAATGGATTCCTGTTTTAGTCAAATCAGAGCCAGTTGGCGATGAAGTGAACGCACAAAAGAATCTTAAATCACACTAGGGATTGTTTGTTTACAGGAGAGGCATCTAGGGTCGAGGCCAATCCCCGTCTCTTGGCGCTATACCTCAGTGGGGTCTCCGAGAAGCCCAGCAGCTGTAAACCGGTCCGTTTTTTTCCTTTAAAATCTCCTCGGAGTGTTGGTGTTGAACTAGCTGCCCATCTCTTGGAGGTGAACCCATGGTTGACTGCAATGGACCCTCCGTGCCCAGCGTACAGCTAAGAGACTTGTATTGCAGCACTGGAGAGAGAAATGAATCAATGAATCAAGGACCTTGCAATTTCATCGACATTTGAAGGCATGGGATATAGATGACTATCGTGTACGGGTGTATTGTTAGATATCTGGAGACCTTTCATAGAAACTCATGTGTAGATCTGCCCCCACTGTTGTTATATTCTTGTTCCCCCTTTACGTGTATTTTTCACCTTTTTTATTAGTTGCTGCATTCTGAGTTTCCCCACTTATTCTTTTTTCCATTTGTTTTTAAAAGAAACGATCTTGAATTTTATTTTATTTTTTTAGAAAACTCTCCTACGAGACACAAAGCCCCGGATGAAAGGGGGAAAGCAGGCCTGCGGGAACAAGGACTCTTGGGACTAAGACTCAAGCCGGCTCATTTTCCAGCCTGCTTCCCCCCCACCCCCCGACCAGTTCTTTTAGAACCTTTCTTCGAAGAACCAAACGCTTGGCTGCCTCACGCCGGAAGCGCTTAAAAAAAAAAAATTCCCTCATGTGAGAGTTGTGGCTGTGGTAGACTCTTTTTTTAATTAAATACATCCGTCAAAGCAAAAAAAAAGAAAAAAAAAGACTGCAATGGTCCCCCTTCCATCACAACTAACCCCTTCCCCCCTTTTATTAGCCAGATATTTTTTTAAAAAAAATTAAAAGACACAAGAAAAAACAGTCGTCCCCCCCCCCCAAGACAAAAACGCTCCCGAGGAAAAAAAAACTCCAAAAACAGGGAGAAACAGAACAGCAGCAGCAGCCAGAGTCATTTTTTTTGTTTTTGTTCTGCAATGGATGATCTCTCTCTCCCCCTCCGGTAGAAGTAGGGTTGCTGGGCCTAGGGGGGGCCGGGGCTGCCCCTGCTGCCTCTCTCTCCCCGGCCAAGTTCCTGTAAGCTTCATTCTTTGGCTGGACACTGGGGAGAGTGATTAGCTCCTGTCCCAGGATGGGTTCCTGACGAGGCGGCCGGCCTCCCTCAGTAGATGACCTCATAAACCGAGGCCTTCTTGTCCCCGGAGCCCGTGACGATGAACTGGTCATCCGTTGAGACGTCGCAGCTGAGGACGGAGGAGGACTCCTTCGACTGAAACAGCAGAAAAGGCGAGGTTAGCCATCCGCGGGGGGCCCTGGCCTGGGTGCCCCAGGCTAGCCTGATCTTGTCAGGCCTCAGCTGCTAAGCAGGGTCGGCCCCGGTTAGTCCTTGGATGGGAGACCACCGAAGGAAGCCCAGGCTTGCTACACGGAGGCAGGCCGTGGCAGACCACCTCGGAATGTCTCTTGCCCTGATCTGGCCAGGATGGCTCGGCCTCCTCAGATCTCAGACGCTGAATAAGGTTGGCCCTGATTAATATCCATAGAATCACGGAGTGGGAAGGGGCCATAGAGGCCATCTAGTCCAGCCCCCTGCTCAACGCAGGACCAGCCTAGAGCATCCCTGACAAGGGTTTGTCCGGCCGCTGCTTGAAGACTGCCAGGGAGGGGGAGCTCGCCACCTCCGGAGGCAGCTGATTCCCCTGCTGCACAACTGACTCCCTAATATCCAGCCGGGAGCTTCCCGCCCTTAATTTAAACCTATTATTGCAAGTCCTCTCCTCTGCTGCCAACAGGAACGGCTCCCGGCCCTCCTCTAAGCGGCAGCCCTTCAAAGACTTCACGAGAGCAATCCTGTCCCCCCCTCAACCTCCTCTTCTCCAGAGGGAACATTCCCAAGTCCCTCAGCCTTTCCTCAGAGGGCTTGGTCTCCAGGCCCCTGATCATTCTCATTGCTCTCCTCTGCACCCACTCCCTTCTGTCCACATCGTTTTTGAAGGGAGGCCTCCAGAACTGCACACAATACTCCAGGTGTGGCCCAGGCTAGCCCAATCTAGTCAGATCTCGGAAATACCTATATGGGAGACCACCAAGGAAGTCCAGGGATGCTGCACCGGGCCAGGCGATGGCCAACCACCTCGGAGTATCTCTTGCCCAGAAAACCCTCCAGGGTCACCCTCAGTCAGCTGCGGCTTGCCGGCACTTCCCACCACCCTCTCTTTTGGGCATTCCTCCCCTGCCCAGCACCTGGTCCAGGGACAACCGGCCACCCCCACAGTCACGTGCTGATCTGAACAGGGATCTCCCCACTCCTAGACCCATAGCTCTACCTACGACACACATGCTGTTTCTCTATCACTAAACTCCGTCAGAAGCAAGAATTCCAGCACGGTCTAAAGGCCACAATTCCAAGAGGCTCTTGAAATATTCTTGGTCAATCTGATCTCTGGTTCTAAACTAGTTTCTGTTAGGGGTGCCAAATCTGGGTTGGGAAATACCTGAAGATTCTGGGGTTGGAGGCTGAGGAAGGCAGGGTCCAGGGAGGGACCTCAGCAGGGTACAACACCCTGGAGTCCACCCTCCAAGCAGCCATTTTCTCCAGGGGGAACTTATCTCCGTCACCTGGAGAACAATTGCAATAGCAGAACCCCAAGTGCCACCTGGAGGTTGGCAACCACAAGTTTCTTAGGCATTCTGCACTGATCCTGCAACAGCCTTGCTTTCCTGGAGCCGCTGCATTCCTTCTGGAAAACAGTTGTGAGACAGTTCTACTTCTCGTGATGGCTGCAGACTTTTCTCTGGCCTCGGGTCAAGGTGATCCAGGTTTTGGCCATGACAAAAACCTACCAAGCTTGTTTTGCAGAGATAAAAGTGGGACAGGCATTCACATGACCAACAGCAATCCTGCATTCCAAACTGCCTCTGCTTCTCAGCATGCGGGGGGTAAGAACATAAGAGAAGCCAATGCTGGATGAGGCCAAAAGCCCATCCAGTCCAACACTCTGTGTCACACAGTGGCCAGAAATACCAGGTGCCATCAGGAGGTCCACCAGTGGGGCCAGGACACTAGAAGCCCTCCCACTGTTGACCCCCCCCCCAAGCACCAAGATGACAGAGCATCATTTGCCCCAGAGTCCCTATCTATACCTTGTGGCTAATAGCCACTGATGGACCTCTGCTCCATATGCTTATCTAATTCCCTTTTGAAGCCGTCCATGCTTGTAGCCGCCACCACTTCCTGTGGCAGTGAATTCCAAGTGTTAATCACTCTTTGGGTGAAGAAGTACTTCCTTTTATCCGTTCTAACCCGACCGCTCAGCAATTTCATGGAGTGCCCACGAGTTCTTGAAGTTTCAACCCAGAATCAAACTCTGTTGGTCTTCAAGGTGCCACTGGACTCAAAATTTGTTCTGTCGCTTCGGACCAACATGGCAACCTACCTGGATCTATGTACATCATCACCTTGTCTGATCAGAGACATTCACAGGTCAGATACAGCACCACCTGCCCACTTTGTGAAATGAAACGTCTCTCAATCCACTTTTGGCTGGTCCCATCCCCTAGTCCTGCAGTGGTGTCACCCGCTTACCTGGAATATACTGGCTCCGTAGGGGGTTCGCCACGCATTCAAGAGGTTATCCTTTCCCGTACTGACAAACCATTTCCCTTGATTGGGATACAGCAGAAAGAAGAGATTACCCCCCAAAGGATCTGTTCATCTCACACGCACGCAAAAGCTTTCGCCCAGAACTGAACTTTGTTGGTCTTAAAGGTGCCCCAGGACTCAAACTGTGTTCTGCTGCTTTGGACCGACACCCACAACCCACCTGATTTTACCTTATTTATTAAAAACATTTATTAGACACCTTCCTCACGGAGCTCAAAGGCGGCTTACAACTTGGATAAAATACATAAAATTATACCACCTTTAAAAACATAAAAAACAAAATTATAACCACATCAAACTACCTCAGTACTGTCCATTTCAATTCCTAGCAGCCCTCCACAGTCTGGTCTTCCCCAGCACCCACGTCCAGTGATAATTTAAGTGGAGACACCCAGGATTGAACCAGGGACCTTCTGCACGCAAAGTTAGGGCTCAGCCCTTGAGCCACAGCCCCTCCAACGGCCCCCGGCATCATAACTTAGTCAAGCCAATGCAACCTCACCGACAACAGAATACCCTGTACTCAATGTTCCCTCTAAGCTGAGCTAGTGTGAGCTGGCTCACAGTTTTTTAGCCTCCAGCTCACACATTTTTGTCTTCGCTCGGGAGGGGATGGCTCCAGAGCCAACTAATTTATGCAGCAGCCAAATCGCTCGCTCGCAACTTTAATGCCAGAAGCTCACAAAGTAGGATTTTTGCTCACAGCTTAGGGAGTATTGCAGCTGTACAGATTACAAAGTGCCACAGACTCAAGTTCCGAATACTCGAAACGCCCATGGCCGAGGAACCCTTGCGCAGTGCAGGGTGATTCCGAGGTATGTTCTATAGCGCACGGTTTATCCAGGGTGTGGTCCCAGCCTGCTGTGCTTCTCTCTGTCACTCCACATGGGGCAGGAGGGTACCCTGGGACTAGTCCAGATTTCCCCCATCTGAAGCTCATGAGAGAAGGGCAGAATTTGTAGCCAAGGTCTTAATTTGGGGGGAGAGACACCTACCCTGACAGACAGCTGGGACGTATGGCTCCCTCCTCCCTGCTCTCCCCTGGAGTACTCTGACCACCCCTGGGGCAAGCCAGTCTGTTTAGGGCAGGCATTCCCAACCTTTTAGAGCCTGCAGGCACCTTTGGAATCTTGAGTGAGGCTATAAAGGTAAAAGTCTCCCCGGCTTGAAAGCCAGTCGAATCTGACTCTAGGGATGCGGTGGTCATCTGCGTTTCCAAGCCGAAGAGCCAGCGCTGTCCGAAGACATTTCCATGGTCATGTGGCCTGCATGACTAAATGCCGAGGTGCACGGAACACTGATACCTTCCCACCGAAGCGGTACCTATTTATCTACTTGCAATTCCTTGCTTTCGAACTGCCAGGTTGGCAGGAGCCGGGGCCACAGACGGGACCTCACTCCGTCACGCGGCACTCAGGTCTCGAACTGCCAAACTACAGTCCTTCCGGTCTGTGGTTCAGCGTTTTAACCACTGAGCAACTGCAGCCTATACATAACTATAATGTATAGTATAGAGGCTATACGTAACTCTAATAAGCAACTCTCCAGCATTTCAGAAGTTGTGTTTAACAGGATGCCTTTTAAAATGGACCTACCGTTTTAGAATGTTTTGTGCACAGACATGGTAGACCTTTAGTCACAAAGTAAAGATTCTTGGGTTTTGGTGGCAGCCAATCAGATCTCCGGTGGCCAATCAGAAGCCTGCTGGGCCAAAGGCCCGCCTGGCTCTGTCCGCTTTCTAAAAAAACTCTGCAGGGACCCTGGCGCCCACGGGCACCATGTTGGGGAAACTGGTTTTGGGTTTCTGTGGAAGCTGCACTGTACCTTCCCCCGTCCAAGACACCACCTACCGCAGGAGGCGAATTTGAGGGACAAGACGCAGCTCTCGTGAAGGTGGAGCTGGTATTTCTCCGGCTTCGACACGTGCAAGATTTCCACGTTGCTGCTCTCCATCCCAACAGCCAGCCACTCGCCTGTGGGACAGTAGCCCAGGGAGAAGATCTGGAGGGAGGGGGAAGAAAAGACGGGGCTGGAGTCATGCACGAAAGAGAGCGGGGCAGAGGCCTCCTGTGTCGGGGCTGCGCGTGCCCTGCAGCTCTGCAGAAGCACCGAGACGTACAATTTGCAAGCAAGCTTCTAAGCTCTCAGGGATGCGGTGTGTTGCTAACTTTTCCAGGAGAATCAGATGAACTAACAGAGCCAGGGAGAGGAAAGCAGGCTTTCAGGGGCGTGTATGGATCCCTGGCGACCTGCAAACCCAGCACAAGGGGACAGTGCGTCAAATTTCTGCAAGCTACATGGCACCTTAGCTGTTGTAGATTTTCCGGGTAGTTTGGCCGTGGTCTTGGCATTGTAGGACCTGACGTTTCGCCAGTAGCTGTGACTGGCATCCTCAGAGGTATAACACAGAAAGATGGAGTACCCTCTGTGAGAAGAAAATGGTAGGCAGGTAATTTATATCTACTCAGGAAGGTGGGGTAGGGCTGAGTCATTATCTCGCAGGAGTTCCCCAAGCTGTGAACATGCTAGTGGAGGAGCTTTCCTGAGGAGGTTCTTTTGTATATGGATTGTTTCCTGAGGAGGTTTCCTGAGGAGGTTCTTTTGCACGTGGATTGGCTGTTGAAATTCTAATCTTATCTGTAATGCTACTGTCAGATGTAGAGCCTTTTGTGTTTTTCAGGACAGGAAACCATGCCCTATTTATTTTTAAACTCTCTTCTTTGTTTGGGTAGCAGGCAGAGTCCGAGCATCTTTGCGCCACCTTTGCCGTGGGGGGGGGGAGACTTGGGGCTTTCCATCATCAACAAGGCTACGCTGATGGCAGCTGCAAGGGGGTCCCAGCCCCCACTAACCCCAGTTCACAACCAAAGCCCCTATTTTCCCCCCATCCAAGCTTCTGCCCCTGGGGCTGCCAGCAGGACCGATCTCTTCCTTATCCAGAAGCCGCACAACATTCCCCCCCTCGAGACCTGCTCTAGGTCCCACCAATCCTTCTGCGCCACCGCAAACAGGTCTCCCGTGTATCTTCCGTTTTATTTTTTTTAAGTTACACCCCCTCCCACCAAATCATTAAAACCAGCAGCACAACAATTAAAAATAAATAAAATAAAAGCAGGAACACTGCAACACAGACAGCCTTGCAACTGAAGATCTTTTCAGACAGAGACCTGGGGGGCGGGGGCACTCCAGCCCCCCCCTTTTGGTACGGCTGCCAGGTGCCAACCTCCAGGTAGCAGCGGGAGATCTCCTGGAATTACAACTAATCTCCAGACGACAAGAGGTCAGTTCTTGGGGGGGAAATGGCTGCTTTGGAAAGTGGGCTGTATGGCGTTAACATTCTGCTCCGGTGTCCCCCCCCCACGCAGGTTCTACCCCCCAAATCCCCAGTTATATCCCAACCCAGAGCCCGCAATGCTACTTTTTGGGCCTCCACTTTGCTCTTCCTTCTTGCATCCTTCCAGGTTGGATGACGGCCCTAAATGGGTCAGCTGGAGAACGGCAGAAACTGTCCCTTACCTCTATGGCTCATGCTCATTGGCCGGACTCCAGAGATCCCACCCCCTTCTCCCGTCACAGAAGCCCCGCCCCTTCCTCACCTGGGAGCTGAAGTCGTGCTGCTGAAGCTGCCGGCCTTCCCTCAGGTCCCAGCACCGGACCGTGTTGTCCAGGCCCCCCGTCCAGAGCTTGGTGCCGTCGTTGGAGATGTCAATGCAACTGGCTCCATCCGTGTGACCCTGGAACTGCCTGGAGGAGAGGAGAGGCAGGGGGCACAGACACAAGACTGCAGTCTCAGCACAGAAGGCCAGCCTTCCTGAAAACCTCTGGCTGCAGGCCAGGCCAGAGCAGCAGACGTTCGGGCCGGAGGAGAGACTAATCCGAGTGGTCTTCAGATGAGGCAGACCCCAGAATATCCCCTATGAAGACCTGGTCCGCAATTATTCTCGTGGGCCACAGAAAAGCTTCTACGTTCCAAAGACGTGCAAGGAATCCCCAGCTTTTAGCCCAAAAGTCTTCCAAAAGCAAACTTAGTCGTGTTGTAAATGCATGGCTTGATACAACACGGGGGTTTTAAATGCAGAGAAAAAGCACAAAAATTCTCCTTATATCAGTAACCATATAGAAAAGGTTCCGTCACTGGTTGACTTGAATACAAGAGCTCCCACATTCAGAGCCAGTCAACCTCTGAATCCCAGAGCCAGGAGGCAACATCAGGGGAAGGCCTCGGCCTCTATGCCCTGTTGTTGGCCGTCCAAAGGAACCGGTTGGCCACTGTGTAAGACAGGATGCGGGACTAGATGGATCCTCATTGCTCTGATCCAGAAGGACTGATCTCTGATCCAGACGGTGTTCTTTGTAAAACTCACTGTGGTGAATAGTACAAGTTCAGTAATTCTCACAGCATCAGAGGGCCCTGCTGAAATTCTGCTTCTTTTACTGTACTGTGACATATCATCTCTTAGAACAAAGTTTGAGTCCAGTGGCATCTTTAAGATCAACAAAGTTGAGTTCTGGGTATAAGCTTTTATGTGCATGCACACAAAAGCTTATACCCAGAATTCAACTTGGTCAGCCTTAAAAGTGTGCATGCACACAAAACCTCATACCCAGAATCAATGTTCCCTCTAAGCTGCGGAGTCTTGTGAGAAAAAATTCTACTTTGTGAGCCGCTGGCATGAAAGTGGTGAGCGAGCGATTTGGCTGCTGCCTAAATTAGTCTGCTCTGGAGCCATCCCTTCCGGCGCTGAGACAAAAATGTGTGAGCTGTAGGCTAAAAAACTGTGAGCTAGCTCACACTAACTCAGCTTAGAGGGAACACTGCCCAGAATTCAACTTTGTTGGGTCTTAAAGGTGCCACTGGACTCGAACTTGGTTCTGTTTCTTCAGACCAACAGTGCTAACCACCTGAAACGATCCCCTTTCTTTGTATATGAAAAAAACAACATATGGAGTTAAAACACAGAAAGAAATCCAGCAGCGGTCGTAAAAGGGGAACTGCAGCAAACTCAGCCCAGCATGGCAGAGTGGATGGCATAACTGAGTTGAAACGGCTTCTACTGACTCAAGTGAGCCGGACTGTGTTCTGCAACACCACGGGGGACAAGGGCGTGTCCGCCCCGTCTCCATGGATCTCCCCACCCCCAGCACAGCACTCACCTGACCAGCGCCTGGTTCTGCAGGTCCCACACCACGATGTTCCCGTCGCTGCAGCACGAGAAGCAGACCTTGGCGTCGGGGCTGATGGCCAGGGCGTAGCAGGCCGGGGCGGAGGAGGTCAGCTCGGCCTTGATCCGGGGGGTGGGAGACGCCAGGTCCCAGATGGAGAGGGTGCTGGCCTCCCCGCCCACAATGAGGCTCCGGCTGTCGGGGAGCAGCTTGCAAGAGCGGATGTAGTTCTCCCGATTCTAGGGATAAAAAGGTGGAAGAAGACACTGAAGCGCCGTCCACCCGTGGGTGCTCGTGGGAACCCCCCATCCGAGAGTCCGGGCCCCTCCCCTGAAGTAGAAAAAGCATTCTTAAAGTACGTTTTTACCCTTTTTTTCTTACAAAACTAGTTTCAATTAACGTTATTCCATACACGTATGAGTTAAGAAGGATCTACGTAGGTCAGGGTCCCTAACGTGGTGAGCCGGTTGCCTGCTGACACCTTTCCTGGCACTCACCCAGTGCTTCTAGAAAGTGGGCGGGGTCAGCTGTGGCACTTGCCCAGCAAGACTTCGGATTGACCACTGGAGATCTGATCAGCTGGGGAGATTAGAACAACATTGGGCACGTCTACACATACACGCACTTTCAATCCACTTTCCGTGCCCTTTGACGCTCCTTTGCAAGTGGATCTTGCCATTCCACACCGTAGAATCCAGTTGCAAAGTGCACCGAAAGTGGATTGAAAGTGCATGATTCAGTGCATGCGAAAGTGCTTATTGTTTCACTGGCAGCTGCCACCACTTGCTGGTTTTATTCTCTGTCACATTCCTTTTAACCCAGAGTGTTTTTAAAATGACCTCCCTCGCACTTGGGCTTCCTCTTGTGTGGGTGGCGCCACTTCCTACAGCAGCCATTTTGTAGTCGCGCCCATCACCCTGTGTCAGAATTCTAATTATGCCCACAGGCTCAGAAAGGTTGGGAACCCTGAAATTGTGTTGTTCCTTCTCAATGCCCAACTGTAGTCCCTGGTAGCGCCCCTCCCATACCACCAGTGTTCCCTCTAAGCTGAGTTAGTGTGAGCTAGTTCAGTTTTTTAGCCTCCGGCTCACACGTTTGTCTTAGCCTCCGGAAGGAGGGCTCCAGAGCAAACTAATTCCTGTAGCAGCCAAATGGCTCACTTACGACTTTAATGCCAGTAGTTCACAAAGTAGAATTTTGGCCCAGAAGACTCCACAGCTGAGACGGAACACTGCACACCAAAGTGGAACCCTCCTGAGAGGCCCCGATCCCCTTTCCTCGACTCACCAGGCAGTCTAACTGCGCAACAGGCGTCTTGGCTCCGGGCTGCCCCACGTCCCACACCTTGACGCAGCCCTTCCCCCCCGTGTAGACGTGCTGGGTGGAGTTGCTGATGGTCACGGCACAGACCACCTCGCCGTGGGTCAGCGTGTGGAGCTGGCGTGCATGCCGCGGGATGCCGGAGCCGATGAGGGCGTCGGGCGGGAAGGGGACCGGCTGCATTTGACCGTCGGCACTCACGTGGAAGGAGTAGGCGCTGGATGTGGGGCGGGGCGGGAAGACAACAAAAGGCTTCAAAAAGAACAGCCCGCTTTAAAGTTGTGAAGCGAAAAAGGCCTGGAGTAACCAGGCAAAGCCTCCCCAAATACCAGCAAGTTATTGGAGCTGCTTCGACAGAACGTTTGGCATTCCATTGGCATAATGAGGCCTGTAAAAACACCCCTCCTCCTCCTCCCTGCTCCTCACAGATGTATTTTCCATTGCACTGGCTCATCCACAGCTACCACTGCACGGCTCTTCTTGCATGCCTAGCAACCAGTGTGTGCTCTCTCTCTCTCTCTTTACACACACACAGCAGTTCTGCAAGACTGCATGTTTAAAAGAGTTCTGCATAGCTTTACAACAGCCCTGTCAGGTGGCCCAGTATCACCAGCTTCTCCTTGATAACTGCGATCATGGAGGCTGTGTTTGTGAAAGGAAAAAACCCCTCACTTTATTTCAAAATCAACATGTAGTAAACAGTGTTCCCTCTAAGCTGAGTTAGTGTGAGCTAGCTCTCAATTTTTCAGCCTCTGGCTCACATATTTTTGTCTTAGCTCAGGAAGGAGGGCTCCAGAGCAAACTAATGTATGCAGTAGCCCAATCGCTTGCTCACAACTTTAATGCCAGTAGCCCACAAAGTAGAATTTTTGCTCACAAGACTCCACAGCTTAGAGGGAGCATTGATAGTAAACCCAACTATCCCTCCACGATTGCTTTATCAAAGGAAACTTGAATCTTTTCTCCCCTGCAGTTTTTTCACTGCAAGAAGACGCTGCTGAGCTGCTTTTGACCGGCGAGGGGGGAGTAGAGGGGGGCCTGCTTGTAAGTCAGGAACCAGCATTTAATACCACCTGGACAGACTAGAAGCAAAAAAAAAAAAAAGTTGGCCTTGCAGCTGAAAGTTTGAATTACGCACTTTCCCATCTATCTTATGCCCACAAGGATTACTTCACACTTGACAAATTAGGGCTCACTCGGGCCACAATCCTATACATGCCTATCTGGGTAGGAGTCCACTGAGCTCAATGGAAATCACTTCTGAAAACAACATTTTACACAAAGGTTTCTGGTGATGAGAATGGTACAGTCATTTATTGTCCATTAGATAGTCCCTGGATAATTGCAGAACACTGGACGTGTCTCACTTACATTCAGAAGTCTCAGTTTGTGGGTGTATTGAGCCAGCTGTTTACACACTCTGGATGTTTGTATATGCCAGAAAACACCCGATCCCAGTATTTTCACCTAACACACCCTCTGCAATGGATTACAGTCTCTGAATATTTTTGCCACAAACATAAAACAACGGATTTCCCGGGAGACGCTGGCAGCAAGGCAGATGTCAGTCAGGAGAAAAGAGAATTAAGGGATACCGAACACAGAGAGGCGACCGATGATCTCGAAAGCATTCTCAGTTCTGCTGATTCTCAACGACTATCGTACCATGGAACATAAGTCTGTGCGATAGCCACACAAAACCGAAATCCAACATTTGCAGAAGCCTGCTGAGAAATGATCCGGCGCTCGGCGCTGCGGTCACAGGAAAGCCATTGGGGCTGGAATCGCTCGTGCGCCTCATGCATCGCACAGCCCGCGAGCTGCAGCGCGTGCCTCTTCGGCCAAAGTAAGCATCCCCAGGGCATTTTTTGTAGAAAAAGCCCAGCAGGAACTCATTAGCATAATAGGCCACACCCAATAGCAGAAACTCATTAGCCCATTAGGCCACACCCCTGACAGCACCACTCATTAGCATATTAGGCCGCACCCACATGTTACCAGAAGTGTGGTCATCCAGCCACACCCACCTTTTACTTCTTATTCTGTTTACCTTGTTTGTTGTCAAAACCCAGAGCTTTTTTTGTAGCAGGAACTCCTTTGCTTGTTAGGCCACACACCCCTAATGTAGCCAATCCTAATGAGTTCCTGCTGTTGGGTGTGGCCTATTATGCTAATGAGTTCCTGCTGGGCGTGGCCAAGTCAGGAGCCAGCCGGAACTCCGTTCCTGTGCGTTCCTGCCCAAAAATAGCCCTGACTGCATCCCCATAACTTCAGTTAAGACCACAAACGAGAACCAACAGATCCTGCAAGCGGCCCATTGTGACTGCACACCTGAGGGAGGGGGGGCAGTCACCTTAAGAGCAGCTGAAGCCAAAGGCCCCTGACTCCGGCCAGAGAGGTCTACCGGGTCTGCCGAAGCGGGAACCGGGCAGCCGAGAAAGGCCGAGCACTTCAAGCGAAGGAGCTTCAGGAGCTCTGTGAGAGGCTGGCAAAGGCCTCTTCTGATGCCGCTCCAGCAGAACGGCGGCCATCGAGGGGAAAGGTTCCCTCTCGGCTGAGTAGCATCATCCCATTCCCTCCAGACTCTGGCCAGATGCCACATCAGAGACAAACTCCAACGACTTGAATGACCACAGCGATGCGCCCCGGCACTCAAAAAACGAGGCGATGGGACCTGTTCCCTGACATGGCACGTAATGGGATGACAGCCTCCAGTCCCCAATGCACGCAGCTCTAAAATCCCAGAACGACACATAGCGATGCCAGGCTTGCGTGGCTGTGAGCAGGAGGCAACGCTGTGCATTTCAGCACTTTCCCGAGACTTCTGCACGGCAGCCACCAGGAGGGCAGCAGATAATGTTTGTGTCACACAGGAAGGCATACCTGAGGGACCGCCTTTCCCCATATAGGCCCCAAAGAGCACCTCGGTCGGGGTCACAATTCCATCTGGTGACCCCGGCCCTAAAGAGGCCAGGCTAGCTACCACGAGGGCCAGGTCCTTTTCGGTGGCGGCCCCTATCTGGTGGAATGAGCTCCCGGAGGAGATCAGGGCTCTGCGGGACCTTTTACAGTTCTGCAGAGCCTGCAAGACGGAGCTCTTCCGCCAGGCTTTTGAGTAGGGGCCGCCCCCGCCGCCACTACCACCACCGCATATATGTGGAGCAGGACCGTCGAGGATGGGCGATTGGAAATGGAACATCATGGCTCATGCCGTCTCCCTTCTGATTTTGACTTTTGACCTCCTCATGACATGTAATGGAGAATGTACAATCTAGTCCTTCATGTAACCGTGAGATGTTAATATTTTTAGCTTCTGTTGTTTTAATGCATCTGTTTTATAGCACTTTGTGCCCTGTAAGCCGCCCTGAGCCAGCATGCAGAAGGCCCTGGGTTCAATCCCCGGCATCTCCAGTGAAGGGACAGGCAGCAGGTGATGTGAAAGACCTCGGCCTGAGACGCTGCCGGTCAGAGTGATAGACCCAGGGTCTGATTCAGTACGAGACAGTTTCGTGTGTCTGCGAAAGACTGGCCTGCTCTCTGTGCAGAGAAAGGGTTTGGTGCACTCACGTTCGAGGCTCCCTCTAAGCTGCGGAGTCCTGTGAGCAAAAAATCCCACTTTGTGAGCTAACCGGCATTCAAGTGGTGAGCGAGCGATTTGGCGACTGCATCAGTTAGTTTGCTCTGGAGCCGCCCCTTCCTGAGCTAAGACAAGAATGTGCGTGAGCCGGAGGCTAAAAAGCTGTGAGCTGGCTCACACTGACTCAGCTTAGAGGGAACACTGCTCACATTCCACATGGTGGACCCGTTGTCTGGATCCCAGGGCCAGGAGCCAACATCAGGGGAAGGCCTCGGCCTCTTTGCCCTGCTGCGGGCCCTCCAGGTTGGCCGCAGTGTGAGACAGCATGCTCCCCATGGGCACCACAGGGGCCCACCCACGTGTTTCCTGGTGCGCCTCCCCCAAGTGTTCTTAGAAAGTGGGTGGGGGCCAGGTGGGATCCTGCCCAGCAGGGCTTCGGGTGGGCTCCGCAGGTTAAAAATAATACTGTAGCGGCAGCTTCTGCCGAAACAAGTGTTTGCTTTATTTTCTCTCACACACCAATTTCCCCGATGTATTTTAAAAATGTGCCCCTCTCATTTCTGGCATTTCGGCTTTCTCTGTGTGTGGGGTTGAGCTCCACCTCCTGAGGTGGCTGTTTTGTGGCCAGCCTCCCACTGTGGCCATTTTGTGGCTGCATCCACCTTAGTGTGCCAGAATTCCGAAGGGGCCCACTAGCTCAAAAAGCTTTGGGGGCTCCTGCTATCGTCTCACTCCAGAGATAAACTTACACTGGGTTCCTGCTTGCATTTCACAGAGGATAAGAACTCAGCTTGTTACATTCATTTGTACCCAATGGAACCATCGACGACACTCACCTCTGCGCTCATTTAAGTGCACGCTACCCTACTTTGTGCAGTGCAACCGTTAACCATTCATTCACTACTTATTTCGTTTGCAAAATTCAGACCCTACTTTCCTGCCCCGATCAGCAGCCACGAAAGCAGCTAAAACGTTTTACAGATGCAAAATAAAACATATCTTCAAAGCCACTAAAACCAAACAACAACAAAAAGTAAAACGCATATTTTCGCCTGGCTATGAGGCACCAGCCCCCTTGACTTGCATTGTTCGACTTTGCAAAAAAATATAATAAAATGCAATTTTGTTTGTTTGGGGCATTTCCAGAGGTCGATTCGAGGGGGATCGTAGTTCCCCCAGGTGAGGTGCAGGGGGGCGGGGCACACGACGAAGCCCCGCCCCTTCTTCCGGCCACCCCCTTCTTCCAGCCTCATTCTGTTGCAGAAGGAGGAAGAAGCAGGAGGGTAAGTTGGCACGTAGCCTGTTTCTGCAGAACGCTCAAGCTGTTCTGCTCCAAGACACAACGGTGAAAGATCTCATCAATGGAGAAAGAGAAACCACATCCTTTGACGTGCCACCCGAAGGGGCCGTCAACAGATAAGATACATCCATACAAGAATGTTCGGTTGCAACCAAGCCAGGAGACAAACCAAAGAGCATCTGTCTCTAATCCATTCCTGAAGAACGTGGCAACATGTGCAGCCAAACCGTAAGCTGTAGTAAAACAGCAGGGGAGGGAAGTCTTCCAGCCGGCTGAATGAGATCTGGGCTGAGGGTCTGCCCTGCCTCGGTTGCAGGTACTTAGCATGGGTGCGTCCAGAGGCATGCGCTGAAAGGATCTTGGCCCCTGACTCATATCCTGCGCCCCTGCATGACCTAGCCCAGAGAATCCAGCACCACAGTGCATTTCCTTTCCTTTGTTTGTTTACATTATCATTTTTTCTATAAAGTCTCCGGTGGGGAGAAAAGCAAGAGATAGAGATCTAAAGAAACAGACAAAATCCAGTAGAGGAAGGTATGGACAAGCCTACTGAAGACAGACGGAAATGTTGTGCAGTGCCTCAATCCTGCGGCCTGAGTCCTGTTGAGCTGCCCGCCTTACTGAAACACCCACTTATGGTTTCCTGTGAAGATAGAGCCAGGTGGGTAGCCATGTCGGTCTGAAGTAACAGAACAAAGATTGAGTCCAGTGTCCCCTTTAAGACGAACACAGTTTAATTCTAGGTATAAGCTTTCATGGGCAGACACCCCATGACACACCAGGACGGGCCCACCAGAGGAAGGCCACCAGGACTGGAAGAAGATCTGCTCCAGGGCACCAGGAGATCGAGCGCCGACACCCGAAAAGCCCGCTTGAAGAAGGAGCCAGATAACAACAAGCCCTGCTGCCTGGGTGCCAGTAGGCAGTCTCCTCCCGATATATGCAATGTGGCCTTAGATAGGAAATTGGAAACACTGTATGTAAGCCGCTCAGAGACCCTTCGGGGTTAGAGCAGTATATAAGTTGAATGTTAAATAAAAATTAAATAAACTGTGTTGGTCTTAAAGGGGGCCAATGGACTCACACTTTGTTTTATGGTTTCTGTGCAGCTTTAAACAGGAAATGAGGTTCTACGTTCAGACAGGCGAGCAGAAGGCACTGCCTCCTCTAAGGAACTGGGACTCTGCAAGATCGGTCACCACGTCTCCCGGTAGACAGAGAAGCACTAAGAGCTCTAAAACCGATGACACTCCCAACGCAGTGACTCCTGGTGATCGGGCCGATGCCTTTGTCAGTTCAGTACCCATCGGATCACGCTACCGAAGGACAGGGGTCGTTTCGTAGAAAAAGAGCTAGGGGAACTCATTAGCATAACTAATTAGCATATGCCACACACCCCTGACATCACCGGAAGTGTGTCATAAGGCCACACCCACCACTCAGTCTTAGTCTTAAAGGTTAGTCTTAAAGGTGCTATTTGTTAGTCTTAAAGGTGCTATTTGAACTCTTGGACTATTTTGCAGCAACAGACTAACACAGCTACTTCGGGGAAGCTCCTGGATGGGGCTGGGAGTCCTTGCGGAGGCCACGTGGAGTGGCCTCGGCCAGGCAGAGGGCAGGACACCAACTTACCCTCCTGCTTCTTCCTCCTTCTGCAACAGAATGAGGCTGGAAGAAGGGGGCAGCCGGAAGAAGGGGCGGGGCTTCGGCGTGTGCCCTGCCCCCTGCACCTCACCCGGGGAAACTGCGATCCCCCATGATCCCCCCCGAAATGACCTCTGCCGAAGGAGCAGGTGTAGCTGATGACTGCTATCTAAATGACAAAAGAGCAACGCAGAGAACACGACAAGTTCAAGTCTGCAAAACAAACCAGATGAACAGCAGGGAATCTGTGGCGGTTCCCCGACCAAAACACTGATTTGATTTTTATGGCTTTGAATCATAAAATCCAGTTGGCAAGGCCTTTGCCCGACAACCTTCCTTTTTAGCCCACAAAGATGGCAAGAAGGCGTTCCTGCTGGTGGACCTTCAGATCCAGTGAAGTCATCCAAAAGGGCAAGCAACACAACTCGTCTCAGGTCAGCGCATGAGGAGGCAAAGGCAGGATTGGGGACACACGTCATCGATGGCCAATTCAGTGCAGCTGCTGTGTCTGCAAGGGACACCCATCTTTGCTGTCCCATCTGCACTGCTGGGTCCCTCTGGGTGAGTTTGGGGATGACACTGAAAAAAGCATAACAATGAAGCAGCTCAGAGGAAGAGCCTCTGCTTGGCATGCAGAAGGTCCCAGGTTCAATCCCTGGCATCTCCAGTTAAAAGATTTGGCAGGAGATGATGTGAAAGTCCTTTCTCTGCCGGAGACCCTGGACAGCTGATGCCAGTCTGAGTAGACAATGCTGACGACGAACCGACGGTCTGCTTCGGTACCAGGTAGCTTTATATGTTGCGTACTTAATGAGCTGGCAGACAATCCAGCAATGGTGTTGCTACACTTTCAAACAACAACCCGGCGCACCATCACATTCTATGCACCAGATCACCCCAAACAATCATATTGGAAGGTCTTCTGAGAGAACCAGGTGTCATTTCCTGCGGGAGCGCACAGGAGCGGAGCTCCGGCAGTAAGGAGCCCAGGGGGCAAGCACATGCAATAAGCCCTGCCCCCTGCTCCCAGAAGCCCTCAGTCGGGCCACGAGGAGCAAGAAGCAGACAGGTAAGCTGCAGAGCCCCCCCCCTCGGCCCGCCTTCAGGTACAAGCTCTCCCTCCCCTGTGAGGACAGATCTGCATGTTCCCCCCCCCCAATAGCTAGCAATCCAAAACAGTCCAGTGGAGCCTGAGTGCTGGGTGTTGCCTTCTGACACACTTCCGGTATGCAAATAAGTTATGCTAATAAGTTATGCTAGTGAGCTCCTGCACATCTTTTTCTACAAAATGACCCCTGGAGAGAACCACTGCCTGCTTGATCCCCTAGGTACAGGAAAGCCATCCAATCATGCTGGCCTAGAAGTTGGTATGCAGAATACACAACATGGCGGGAACAGCTCCGTTGATGCCGCACGATGTCGACTTGTTTTCCAAACGTTGCCGCAAACAGGCAGCGTTATTCGTGGGCGCCTTTTACCAATCCATGATTTGGAGAAACGCTCTTGGTGCTATTCCTGAACTTCCAGTGCCAAGAGACATGGCATATCAGGTCTGCATCCTGCTCTGGAGATGTCCAGGTCTCACTCCAGAGGCAAGTTTGAAAGTGATCTCTTGCTGATGGCAAGTGCGGTGCCCAGCTGTGAGACACAAATACCACGAAGCTGTATTCTGGCGTACGTTCATGTGATGCAGCGACGGGCATATCGCTGACCCGAACACGCACGTGAATCTAATTGGGGTCAAAACCCCTGCTGCAGATAACGACTGCCAGAGGAATGAACGGGCAGTTTCTTGCCTTAGTTGGTACCTTGAAAGCATTTGAAAGTTTTACAATTACATCCCGGTTTTACATAATGTACTTCCGATTCCAAAGTTTCCTTCACTAAATCCAACTGTAACACTGGCAAGTTACATTTAGATGGTCAAGAAATTAAGCAAACGTCTGAAACACGTGTGGACAGACAAGTGTGTGCATGACACATACAAAACCCCCAAAATGATCTATTTCAGAGGTTTGCTTTCCCCCCACCCAATAGATTGCAATTTGGAAATCCACATTTTCTGACTCAGCATACTCAAATCTGTTAGCTACCTTGGTTCCCCACTTTTACCCCAAAATGTCTCTTGATTAAAGGTAAAGGTAAAGGTTCCCTTGCTCGAAAGCCAGTCGAATCCGACTCTAGGGTTGCGGTGCTCATCTCCGTTTCCAAGCCGAAGAGCCAGCGCTGTCCGAAGACGTTTCCGTGGTCATGTGGCCGGCATGACTAACCACCAAGGCGCACGGAACGCTGTTACCTTCCCACCGAAGTGGTACCTATTTATCTACTTGCAATTTCTTGCTTTCGAACTGCTAGGTTTGGCAGGAGCTGGAACTAGAGACAAGAGCTCACCCTGTCTTGCGGCACCCAGGTCTTGAACTGCTGAACTACTGACCTTCCACAGCCTGCAGTTCAGTGTCTTAACCACTTGAGCCACCGCAGCTCCTGTCTCTTGATTAGGGGCCCCATATTTTGAAAAACCAAAAAGACAATGTGTTTCCCGACTGACTACGTCAAACAAGCAATCAAACAAGCAATCACTCAGACCGATCTCCTTTGAAAGACCCCCTCCCTCTTTAAGCTGTGATCAGGGCTACTCACTAGGAATATTCCTAATCTTCCAACCCACGAGGACATTTTCATCTGTTTTTTTAAAAAGGGCCCCAAAGAGGACAGGCACCAAAACAAGAGGACATGTCCTCTAAAAAGGGGGCACCCGGGAGCCCTATTCTCGATACACTTCCCAGTCCACCCACCCCCTTTTAGGAAAAACCCCAGCTAGACTAAGAATTTCACTGGATCATACTGAGCTGCCCTCTCTCAGCCTAGCCTAGCCTACCTTCCAGGGTTGTTGTGATTGTAAAACGCAACAGCGGCCAGATACCCAGCCCTGGGCACCTTGAGAGCACTATGGAATTTAAATGTAAATTATTATTGGTCAACTTCAGATTGCTTTGGGGGAATAGCCGAGGCAGAGATGGGGCCACCCTCCCTCCACAAGCTCCCCCCCCCCCACTTACGGTTTCCCTGAAGAGGTTCCTGCCGGCATTCCCGTAGAGAGTCCTGGAACCCGCAAGTGTGAATGGGGATCATAGGTAACCTGGCCAAGGAAACCATAACAGCATTATACTGAACAGAATAAAACCCAAATTGCTTTGTTAACACAAACTACTAGCCTTAAATAAAAACACATGCAAGTCAACAGCCTATATATTGGTTAGCAACCTTTGTATGTTTACTGTTGCACAAGCAGTATTATCAGAGACAAAGCCAGTGTTTGTCTTTAACAAAAGAGGGAACCGCTTCTTTTTCTGAAAGAAACTGAATTATTGGGAACCATCTGCTCACAAAGGGCGTCTGATAATCCTCACGTGCAGGGGTCATTTCGTAGAAAAAGAGGTGCAGGAGCTCATTGGCATAACTCATTTGCATATGCCACACCCCCTGACATCACCAGAAGCGTGTCGGAAGGCAACACCCACCACTCAGGCTCCACTGGACTGTTTTGGACTGCTGGTTGTTGGGGGTAGGGTGGGGGAACGTGCAGATCTGTCCTCACAGAGGAGGGAGAGCTTGTACCTGAATAAAACTTGGTCTTAAAGGTGCCACTGGACTGTTTTGTTCTATGGGGGGGGGGGCTCTGCAACTTACCTGGCTGCTTCTTGCGGCCCAACTGAGGGCTGCTGGGAGCAGGGGGTGGGGCTTGTTGCATGTGCCAGTCCCCTGTGCTCCTTACTGCCAGAGTGCCGCTCCTGTGCGCTCCCGCAGGAAATGACCCCTGCTCACTTGAGTTATTAGTTACTCTGTTTGCTATTTTCCCCATGATGAACTGCATCCAGAGTTTATCATACCACAGATCCAGGGGTGGGCTTGAGCTTGATTTCCACTTAAGCAGCACTGGTTAGCCTGGCTACTGCAATTAGTATGGAAATTATTTCTCTGGTTCGTTTTGGTGGGGAAGGATCTGGCCATATTTCCAGTAAGATCAATTCAGGAACAAGAGGAACCGCCAGGTTGGTAATTTGATTTATTGTCTTGATTATCACCTTTCAGAAATTTTGAATAATCGGGCAATCCCACCAACAGTGCCAGAATGTCCCAGGGTGTCCACTGCCCTTCCAGAATAGTGGGTTGATCATTTTATTTATATATATATATAAAAACCTTAATATACCAGGGAGTCCCAAAGACCAACTCAAGACCTTCCAGAGGATGCCCTCCCCCAAAGCACTTACCAGCGGAGAGCGTCCATAAGTGCTAGCCCCCACAACGGCTGCCCCATTGATCTGGGGAGCCACAAGATGCAGTCCAGCATAAGCCCCGGCACCGGCCATTTCTCCGTTGACAGATGCATGGGCTACGTTGAAAGCAGCCGGGTAGGTGCCCTGCAGAGCAAGCGGGTTTCGCAGGCCAAGGGCTAAAATGGGGGGGGGGGGGGGATCGCAGAAACACATAAAGTCAGAAAAATCAGAAGGGGCTTGATGCAGCGGCAAGAAATATTCTTATTTTGTACTGATCAGTCGGCATCCAGCTTGTATTACCAGCTCATCGCCTGAGTGCCTTAAAAAAGGTCTCTTGGTGACTCCCTCTTTTGGTCTAATCCCCACCGGATTTCCTTTGCCCCCTTCCCCTCTTTTCAAGGCTACGCTCCACCAACCCTTGGTAAAGTGAGGCTTCATTATTTATTTTTTAATGAACTGTTACGTTTCTTCCCTCCCCACCACAAGTTCTTTCCTTGGCTTCTTTGAAAAATAGCCTCTTGAGGAGGGGAAAAGCTGTTCTAAGGTTCTAGTCCTCATTAGCGCCCCAGAGGAGCTTGACTGACAAAAGAAGAAGAAGAAGGAGCCGAGCCGAAGAACAGCTAGTCCCACCACTTGGGTGCCGGTAGGCAGCCCCACCCCTGTACCATGTGGCCATAGATAGGGATACAATTGACTCAGACTTCTATGTAAACCGCCCAGAGACCCTTTGGGGTCAGGGCGGTATATAAGCCGAAGGTATAAATAAATAAATAAAAAGAGAACCGGTTCCTGCCTTAACTTGTGAGATTCGTTCTGGCGGCAGCCACACCCGTTTTTCGAGTTTCTCTCTGCAGCCATCGGGACTGGGAGCTTACTGGGATGCTTCCCAAAGACACAGATTTTTTTTAAAAAAATTTTTTTTTACAGAGCTGTATGACTGCTTGCCTTCAGCAGCTCTATACCTTCCCAGGCAGGCTGCGGGTGCAAATTCAACGGACTGACTCGCACACAGAAATCCAGCACAGCAGGGAGCAGACGTCCTTAAGAGAGGCGACCTGTTTCTGCAACCACGCACGCCTCGCTCCCCAAACCGGTCCCCCAACCACAGATCCCAGGGCGGCCCTCCCATTTACCGAGCGACTCCACCATCTGCTTGGCCACGCCTGGGCGGAGCTGCGGGGTGCTGCTGCTGGAACTCGGGCCCGTCCCTTCGCCTTGGGAGGTGGGGGTGCTGGATTTCAAGCCTGGGGTGCTGGCCTTCTCCACCTGCAAGGGAGCCATTCAGAGCCGGGGGTCAGTGCCTGGCATTGCTGCTCTTCCCTTCCCCATCGCTCAGGGGCGAGGAGGAGGAAGGAGGAGTTAAAATTCCTCATGAGACATTTTTTAAAAAAACTGCATGCATGAAGCTGCCCTATCCTGAATCAGACCCCCAGTCCACCAAAGTCCGTTCTGTCTACACAGGCAGCAGCTCTCCGGGGTCTTTCCCATCACCTCCTGCCAGAGCCTTTAAACGGAGATGCCGGGACTTGAACCTGGGACCTTCTGCATGCCAAACAGGTGCTCTGCCCTTGTGCCACGGCCCCTCTTACATCAAGGGAGAGTGCTGCAGGGCTGGGCCAGCAACTAGCAGAGAAAAACAATGGTGGGCCAGTACAGAGGCCAGTGAGATGTCTGTATCAGAGTTACGCTGCCTCTGAACACGGAGGCTGCATTTAACCTGACTTCCACCAGAAGCCTCTGACGCAGCCCTCTGCTATGGTTGACGTACCCCCCAGCAATGGGTTTTCAGAGACACCTTCCTCTCCCCAGAACATTTAGGTTTCAAGTTACTAGACCAGGGGTGGCCAAACCTGCGTAACTTGAGAGCCACATAGAATAAAAGTCAGATGTCTGAGAGCCGCAAGACATGAACAAATATTACAGACACGTTTTCATTGAAAAAGATGCAAACTGGCTTTTTATTAACATTAAATGAGACTGCCAAAAATAAGAACAAAAGGGGTAAAACCAGATATTGATAATGATATTTGTTTGCTAATGATATTTGTTTGTCGGAGAGAGAGAGGTGGAAAGAGAGAATGAAAGAGGTGGAAAGAGAGAAAGAAAGAGAGAGAGAGAGAGAGAGAGAGAGAGAGAGAGAGAGA